CTTCTTTATCCATTCATCTTCCATGTGTTGGCTATTGTAAATAATGCTGCTATAAACATAGGGGTGCATGTACTCTTTTGAATTAGTGTTTTTATATTTATGGGGTAAATACCCAGCAGTGCAATTACTGGATCATAGAGTAGTTCTATTTTTAACTTGCTGGAGAAACACCATAGTGTTTTCCAAAGTGGGTATACCAGTTTGCATTCCCACTAACGGTGCACAAGGGTTTTTTTTTTCTCCACAACTTCTCCAACACTTGTTTCTTGTGTTTTTTATTTTAGCCATTCTGACAGGTGTGAGGTGATATCTCATTGTAGTTTTGATTTGTATTTCCCTGATGATGAGTGATGTTGAGCATCTTTTCATGTATCTGTTGGCCATCTGGATGTCTTTTTAGAGAAATGTCTGTTCATGTCTTCTGCCCGGTTTTAATTGGATTATTTGTTTTTGGGGTGTTGAGTTGTATCGGTTCTTTATATATTTTGGATACTAACCCTTTATCAGATGTGTCATTTGCAAGTATCTTTTCCCATTCAACAGTTTGTCTTTTAGTCTTGTTGCTTATTTCCTTTGCTGTGCAGAATCTTTTTATTTTGATGTAGTCCCAATAGTTTATTTTTGCTTTTATTTCACCGGAGATAGAATTTTAAAAAGGGAAAAGAGGCTTTTTTGAAATAAAAACTGCTAAAAAGGCTGTTATGCTGAGACTCTGGCACCTGTGATAAGAAGCCAGCATATCTCAGGGTGCCTAGGTGGCTCCATCGGTTAAGCGTCCAACTCTTGATTTCTGCTCAGGTCCTGATCTCGCAGTTGGTGAGATAGAGCCCGTGTCTGGCTCTGCGCTGGCAGCTCCGAACGTGCTTAGGATTCTCTCTATGCACCTCCCCTGCTTGCTCATGTTCTCTGGCTCTCTCTCATAAATAAATAAAATTATTTTTTTAAATGTTGTGAAAGGTTTATAGCAAAAGAAGCTTTGGAAAGGAATTTTATTTGTGTCCAGTACTGGCTAAGATTAAAATAAGTTTCCTTAAGGATGTGTTTTATCAAAAGTACACTGTTGCAAAATTAGAATTTGGTTTTTCTCTGTTGAAAACAGGGGCGCGTGGGTGGCTCAGTAAGTTTGGCTCAGGTCATGATCTTATGGTTCGTGAGTTTGAGCCTGGTGTCAGTCTCTGTGCTGACAGCTCTGAGCCTGGAGACTGCTTCAGCTTCTGTGTCTCCCTTTCTCTCTAACCCTCCCCCTCCTTGCACTCTCTCTCTCTCAAAAATAAACATTAAAAATAAAAAAAAATTTTTAAAGGAAAACCTTTTCTTAAGTTACTGATTTGCTTTTTATAAAATTTGTATACAAAGTTTTCCTTTACTTTTAATGTAATCTGCTTAGAAAAACAAAGATTCTATGCTTTGTCTCTGTTGGGTCTTTGATTATCAAAAAACCCAAGTCTCGTCTTACTATTAAAAGAGCTAAGCTTTACTCACAACTATATAACCTTCTGCACTTGCCTTTGGAATCTTTTATCACTTTGGTTAAACAGACAAGTATGGTTTCAGAATGTTCTGTGAGCCTATTTAATCAAATGTTCAAACCTTCTGCTATTTTTTGAGAAACTTGCCAGGATTAAAGTCTAAAATGAAGTCTTTTGACCACAACCTTTTTTTTTTTTTTTTTTCCTTAACATTTATTTAGTTTTGAGAGAGCATGAGCATGAGTGAGGGGAGGGGCAGAGAGAGGGAGAGAGAATCCGAAGCAGGCTTCAGGCTCTGAGCTGTGCCTTGAACTCACAAACTGTGAGATCATGACCTGAGCCTGTCTGACACTTAACTGACTGAACCAGGTAGGTGCCCCTCTTTTGACCACAATCTAACTGAAATATTCCAGAGGGCCCACGGAACATTTCAGAAGATCTGTTCTCCATATAAAAAAGTAAGTATTAAGCTAATTGGGCTTATTTATCATGTTCAGTTACATTGGAAGAATTGTCAAAGAAGTGATACTAAACCCTCTTAGATTATATTTGTGTAGATATGTTATTAAAATGTTTTCAAAGTTGAATGAAATCTTATATGTGCTAGTATGTTATTATCTTGATGTGTTAGTTGTCACAGCAATGACCAGATTTATTCATCAAATGCATTACAATTCATTCTAATCATGGCCATTTTTTTTCAACATTTTTTTTAATGTTTTTATTTTTTGAGAGAGAATGAGAAGGGGAGAGGTGGAGAGGGAGGGAGACAGTGGATCCAAAGCAGGATCTGCACTGACAGGACAGAGCCTGATGTGGGGCTCAAACTCACAAACCATGAGATCATGACCTGAGCTGAAGTCAGACACTTACCAGACTGAGCCACCCAGGCACCCCTCATCGTGGCCATTTTTAAATCTTTTCTCATATACAAACAATTCTACTTTTACTTAGATGCTTTTACAAAAGCTTCCTGCAGATGGGTTTCATCTTCAGTGAGACTTGTGGAAACAATTCTGAGTACAGGTTTCTGATGACCTTAAGATTATAAAACTGAACTGGGTAAGAATTTCTGGAACTAGTGGAAAAATTGGATTCAAGCAGCAGAAGAAATAATAACATGAGCCTGAATGAAGAGGAAGATTATAATTTCTATGACATTTTTATTAGAACCATTAGTGATTTTTTTTTAATGTTTTGGGGTTTTTTTTTCAAATTTAAGGGAAGTTTTTCTCTTACACTATGACTTACAGCAATTTGATAAATGTTTCAATTTGTTCACAAAGGTATATTTTATCTTTTTCCCCCCTACCTGATTGTTCCAGAGTTCCTAAACTCTCAGTGAGTATTCTTACATTTTCATAATAATTTTTATTTCCATAAGTTCAGTAAAAATCTGTTCTCCTTGTAACAGAACACAATTGGAAACATTGGTTGTATTACCAAGGTTTTCACTGAAATGTCATATTTGAGGGAGACATGCATAGACTCAGACATGACCAGAACAGCTTTAAGGTTGACTGTATGGAATAAAGCTCCTTAGAAAAAGCTGGATACAGGTTTCCCAAGCAGTCTAAGTGAGTAAAGAAGGTCACTTCGTTGCAGGTGCAAGAACCTCAGGATTCTTTGGGGACCTCAAGAAGAGAGGACTTAACCCCAAATGATAGGTATTACAGGCGAGGTCTGATGGCAAATATTTGGCTTGGCTTCTGGGCCTTCAAAGGCTGTTAAAAGTCCAGTCAGAGATTCCTTACAAAAAGTTTAAGCAAAGCAGATTTAAAAGAGCCTGTATGATCCATCACTATTCTTGCTGTACTTCTGTAAATAATCAAGCCAAGTTTATTGAAACTATATTCATTCTGCAAATAAATTAGCCTTACTCTGGTAAAAATAAGGGTGAATATAGAGGGAAGAATTTTATTTCACTAACACACCTTTGTGTAAATTAGATTCTAATACAGTTCATTATAAACTGGACTAGATCCTGATTCCTTTTAGTTTCCTCTAGTGCCTGGCCACCGCCCTTCAAATGAGCGAATGAATGTCTTCTATTTTTTTCCCCATCCTTTTGACTTGGAATCATTTGAGAATTAAAACTTCTTTTTCTTGAAGCCCTGCCAACTGAATAGCAGATCACCATAACAGCTCATATATAATCTTCATGCCTGTTGTTCTATGGGCCACTCAAAACCATCACCAGAAACATGCAAACTACAAAGAAAATCTGTCACATTGCCAGACCTGCCCTAAAAGCATCTATCTGAAGATGCTTTGAGCCTACATCTAGAAATCCTCTTGACTAGCTACTCTCAGAACTCAGAAATGGGTTCACAATTTGGTTCAATCGTTAACCATTATTTTTCTTTTATTTCCATAAAAGTTCCTCTTATTACATGATTATTTGAACCATAGGCTTAACGTTGAGAAGACACCTGTGTTCTGAAATGAGTTTAAGTTGGTTGACCTATTGTCAGTATTAAGACACTGATTCAACAAGAAGGAATAGTCTACCAGCTCAACTTGTAATGTGTGAAACTTCCAGGGAAGCTTCGGTGGAAGGAACTGTAGGAGCCAAGGGCAGGCCGCCCCAAAATGTCCTACTGTGGTATATTATTTTAAGTAAAAATTACTTAAGACCATGCAGGAGAGACACTGGGATCCCCTTCTGTCTTCCTGAAAGCAGGAAATAAACTCCCCCATGTGAAAGGAAATAAATACCCTTCCTGTATCACAAGGTAAAGAGACATCCTTATCAGAGATAGGAAATTTAGAGCAAAGAAGTCTGTACAGAAAACGTTTGTTACTTGTTACTGACTACCTGAACCCAAATTGTTTAGAATTCCTTATTAATTGGGGTGCCTGGGTGAGTCAGTCGGTTAAGTGTCCTACTTCAGCTTAGGTCATGATCTCACGGTTCGTGAGTTCAAGCCCTGCATCTGGCTCTGTATTGACCACTCGGAGCCTGGAGCCTGCTTCAGATTCTGTGTCTCTCTCTCTCTCTCTGCCCCTCCCCTGCTCACACTCTAACAGTAAAAAAAAAAAAAAAAAAAAAAAAAAAAAATTCCTTAGCAACTGAAACTCCCAAAGTTTTCTTTGTCCTGTCAAGTCCTTATAGATTTATACTCTGTCTTCAAAGTATAAAAATTGACTGCCTTCATTTCTTTAGGTCTCAAGTGCATTATTGAGCCTCTCTGCACATGTAGTAAAACTGTTTTATTTTCCTCCTGTTTATCTTCCCCTTTAATTCTTAGACCAGCTAGAGGAACCTTCATGGGTAGAAGAAAATTTAAATTCTCCCCCTACAAAGGATAGGAATTTTGAGAGGCAAGTGATGGCTACGTTTCCTGGATCACTTCTTCCTGCCTTGGGGAGGTACTCCACTGAATTTGATTACGGTACATATTATATTTACTTTTATAAATTAATTTAGGCCAACACTGGGGTGCAAATTGTCATTATAGATGAAAATTGTACATATTTGATAGAATTTCAGTTACATCACTATTCAATTTAATACATTTGCAGACACTCCGCTTTATCCATGAAACACTTTATTTATAAAATTTGAATTAAGCAATATTAAGAGTTCATTTAATTCAGTTTAGCACAAATTTTGCTTATGGATACAAATCTCTATAAACACACACTGAACACATTTTATATAGAAAAGTACATATCAAAAAAAGAATACTTGCTTGAAATGAAAAAAAATTAAAGTTTGTTCTAAACTGGTATTATTTTCCCTGCAATTTGCTTTCATTGAACTATATTTTTTATATACTAAGTAGAAGGAATTTAGCAACAGAAAATAGTTGGCTTTGCTATGTTCAAAGTAATGAGAAATACAGCTTTAAAGGTAAGACCATCAATTTTTGTTTTGCTAAATACTTATTGATCCAATTACAGTATATACCAGTTGATTCTTCTTTTACATTTAGGGCTGAAACCCTGAGAAACCTGTGGAGTAAACTGTTTAGCGCTGAGCAGAGTTCAGTATGCCTGTGTTCCCAGAATTAACAAAATAAACCAAACCAATCGAAAAACAAAAACCCCAGCATCTTTTAATTGTTAAGTATTATAATTGCAGGCTTTCTAAAAAATATGAGAATACTTTATACCTTACCTATTTTGCCAGAATAGTGATTTACACTATTTAATAGAGTCATTTTGTTTAGAATTTGGTATAAGCAGACCTTTTTTCTTTTCAGAAATTATTGAGCTCTGTTGGTGCCACAGCTGAACCTTCTTCAGTTCCAGAGGCTTCTTCTGGTGTCTGTAGCTCTTGACAGTGGTACTTCACTTTAAGTGGTTTGCCAGGGTACCAGACCAAGTGAATACGACAAGGAATGATTTCCTGGAAAATAAGAGTTCTAAAGTACTATGATCTGCAAAAATTTCTGGCAAAAGCATTTCTGTATCATAGGAGTGCTGACAATACTGACTCTGTCTTTGACCCTCCGTCTTGCTCATGTCTGTGCACTGACCTCCCTCAGGAACATGTTCCCGGCCCCTTGGAGGTAATATGCCCTGCCCCAAGTGCAGGAAGGCTTGTCTTGATCTCCCCTAATGTTTTGGTAACTAGCAGAGCTTGCCTAGTGCCCATGCCCCCAATCCTGATGGTACCACGAGGTCTGTGAAAATATTAGACCGCTGACCTCACCACAGTGACCTCTGCACATCCCCTTGCTCTATAAAATCTGTGCACTAACAGTCCAGACTTTGCAGAGAACAGCTGCGCAGCGCCTCGGTCATCACCTGCCGATCCTCCCGTCAGTAAGTCACCCTGACTAAAACTCCGTGTAAACTGGGTGCAGCTGCCTGCCGTGTTTTTTGGTCTCCAAGTGCCTTCTCAGTTTGTACGATACTTTACTGTTTCCCTCCTCTACCTTCTAACCTACATACAATTCTATGTTTTACCTGTGTTGAGAATTCATGGAGTAGAACGGTATAATCAAAATCAATTGCATCGTCATTTGTTTTCTAGAGAAAGAAAAAGAGAATTAGTGTAATAAATGGGATAGATTTATATTAGCTCAGAGTTTGGAGGGCTTCTATCATTATAAATTCTTGTTTGGACGAGTGCCTTGAATCTCCTGCTGCCTCTTCAATCCTAGCCTCAGCTCCTTTAGTAGTGGCCTGCAGGCAAATATGAAAGCCAGGGTTCCTTACTGTTTTGTCACCAAGTTAGATGCAAATCTAGTTGACTGTCTTACTATCACTTGTTCTAATATGTATGGCTAAGTCCTATGGGAGTAGGGAGAATCTTTGGACAGCCTTTGGAGTCTAAATACTGTAGATGCACCTGCATTTGTATGTCAACACCAATATGCCAGACACCTGGACAAGGGGCAGGGCAGGTGGCATTCTAAAATGCCACCATGGACCAAGTTCTGTGCTAAAAACTTTATACATTCATCATGTAATTCTCTGTCTTGTAAGAATATGTACTATGAGCCTGGCTTTACAGGGGAAGTAACTTGAGGTTACAGCTGGTAAGTGAAAAATGGGGATGTGAACCCTGATTTAACAATTTTCCTTTTAATTTAAATTCAGGTTAGTTAACATATAGTGTAATAATGGTTTCAGGAGTAGAGTTGAGTGACTCATCACTTACATAAAACACCCAGTGCTCATCCCAACAGGACCCCTTCTGAATGCCCATCACCCATTCATCCCACCCCACCCCCTTTCCCCACCAGCAACCCACATTCCTTACACACTGCTTCTAAAAGCTGTATGCTGGATATTTATAGGTAGGCAGGCAGACTATTTATGTATTTGTATAGTTTAAAAATTGGTTTTACTTATAAACTTGAAGTATTTTCTCAAGCCAATACCTTTTTATTCTGTTTTGGAAAATAGTAATCCGAAGAAAATCCTAGCAGTGTCTAGAGTTTAGGCAAATCCTGAAACGATGAGTTTCCAACTTAATCTTATAAACTCTATTGCTAAATACACAGTGTTACATATTTTTTAATACAAAAGTTTGGATTATTATAATGCTTTTAAACCCTGTACCATTTAATTAAGACCTTCCTCAATAACATTATTAAACCTTTACAGTTTTGGTTTTATAGATTCTGCCTCCTCCAGGAGGAAGCACTCTTACCTCAAGCCCAAAAGCAGGGCTTATTAAAAAAACCAGAGAACGGGACACTGCACATCCCAGCCTGGCAAAGTATTCCCGGGTTGGGCTGCCCCCGCCAAGGCAAGCTCTGCCGAGAAGTAGTTATTTTTAATGTTATTCAGATTTAATCTCCTTGGCTTCTATTCAAATTATCACAAATGCCAAAGCCTTATAATCCAAATTGATGATTTCCTGTCACATTTTCCAGTAATTCAGCACTTTCATCTTCCTAGAGGCCGACTGGAAGTGTTTTGTTTGTTCCCTCTTCCTTACTCGTGATCTCCACCACAACCAGTCTGGTTTTAGTTGAGTCAGTAGGCTTATATTATTAGTATATGCTATCCAAAGTAGACTTCTTAGTCGAATAAATAAGGTAGATAACAAGGTCTCTATAATGCACCCTTGGCTAGCGGGGGGCCTCTAGGTAGGGGAAGGCCTTGGACTGACTGCTAGTGCGTGGAATAGTTGGGGGGGCTGATAGTGATTGGTATGGACAGATAAGGGTTAGAACAATGCTCACTTTTCCTTTTCTCAATTCATAAAGGTTAAGCGTGTAGGGAAAGTCCTCATCTGTTTTGTTTTGTTTTCCTAGCCACCAAATACCTCCCTTGCCCTTGGCACGGTCCTTATGGCATTAGGAATAACACCCGCTCTTGATTTCCAAAGCAGTAACTGTGCCAGTCAGATGGGTCTTACTTCGTATCTGTATTTTAGTCGTTACCCCCTCTTCTTTCAGGCCTTGTTCATTTGGAACTGTGAGTTTGTAAGCCTGCACTTCCTTACACTGTTGCATTAAAAGGAGACTTTAACCCTGAGTGTAAAGGTAATAATTCCCACCCTTTAAAAAGCTTTTGAAAAACTATAATCTCTATACTTTGCTAAGCCACAGGACACCTGCAGTCACTTCCTGCCTCTGTGTTGTCTTGGCTTTATCAGCCCCACCACCTTCCTGTAGCTCGTCTCCTAGAACAGTATATAGATCTGATCTCAGTGACTTTTTAAACACTGTTTCTTGTTTTGCTTGTTGCTGCATTGCTTCTTTTGTGCATTGCTTCTTTTGCTGAGAGATCATGAGAATCCTTAGTGGCTACCAAATAGCAAAATCTGAAAATCTATGTGGATATGTGCATACTTTTCTTTAAGGAAACTGACAAAACAGGAAAGAGTATCCAGTGGAAAAAAGAAAGTGTCTTCAGCACATGGTGGTGGGAGAACTGGACAGCAACATGCAGAAGAATGAAACTAGACCACTTTCTTACACCATACCAAACTCAAAATGGATGAAAGACCTATGAGACAGGAAACCATCAAAACTCTAGAGGAGAAAGCAGGCAACAACCTCTTTGACCTCAGCCACAGCAATTTCTTGCTCGACACACCTCCAAAGGCAAGGGAATTAAAAGCAAAAATGAACTATTGGGACCTCATCAGGATAAAGGGCTTCTGCACAGCAAAGGAAAACAATCAATAAAACTAAAAGATAACCGATGGAATGGGAAAATATTTGCAAATGACATATCTAAATGTGTATCAACTTTGAAATCAAATTTACCAAGTGATTCAGTGATTTAGATTTTTGTTAATTTCAAAGACTTCAGTAAATTTGTTAATCCTCACTTAATAGGTCCTAAGAGATGAAGTCATCTGCCTTGGGTGGCACAGCAAGCCAGTAACATTACTCAATTATTAGTTGTCTAAAACCAAAATCCCACAGGGTTAAAAAAAAAAAAGCTAAATTTCCTAAGTGATGGTTCTCCCTCTGCATTTAAAAAAAAATTTTTTTAATGTTTTTATTTTTGAAGGAGAGACAGAGACAGAGCATGAGTGGGGGAGGAGCAGAGAGAGAGGGAGACACAGAATTCGAAGCAGGCTCCAGGCTCTAAACTGTCAGCACAGAGCCCGACGTGGGGCTCGAACTCACAAACTGTGAGATCGTGACCTGAGCCGAAGACGGACGCCCAACCGACTGAGCCACCCAGGCGCCCCCTGCATTTTTGTTTCCTTAACTCTACAATTACGTCGGTCCCAATTTGGGTGAGTGATATTAATGGACACATGATAGACCTCAAAGGACAGCTACAAGACAGAAATGGAGCTGCTGTATCTGGCCATACTGTGTCCCAGTGGTTGTTAGTTTGGTAGTGTGTTCTGTACAATGGCAAATGAAAAGAAAGCACTGACATTAAAAGATCCTAAGGAGCGGGGAAGATGCCAGAGTGGGAGGACCCTGAGCTCCCTAATGTCATGGACACACCCAAGCAACAACCACATATGTTACAGCTCACTCTGAAAACAACCTGAAGCCTGCAGAAGAGAGCTTCCACAGCTGGTTGTAGAGAGGAGGCCACATCAAAAAGGCCAGCAGAGGGGCGCCTGGGAGGCTCAGTCGGTTAAGCATCTGATTTTGGCTCAGGTCATGATCTCACAGTTCGTGATTTCGAGCCCCACGTCGAGCTTGCTGCTGTCAGTGCAGAGCCTGGAGCCTGCTTCGGATTCTGTGTTTCCCTCTCTCTTGACCCCTCCCCTGCTTGTGCTGTCTTTCTCAAAGATGAATAAATAAACATTTATTTAAAAATGTTTAAAAATAAACAAACAAAAAAAAGAGGAGCAGAGGTGGAGACACAGTTGGGAAGCAGACCTGACATGACTAAGCACAAATGACAGGGATATCACAAGCACAGAAGAGTGAAAGGATCAGACCCCACACCAGGCACCCCTGGCCCTGGGCATCCACCCTGGAAAGAGTCTCCATAACATTTACCTATGAAATAAGTGGGGCTTAACTCTGGGAAAGATGGAGGGGCCACAGGAAATAAAGTCTCTGCCCTTCAAGAGCCAAGATGCTAAATAATAAGGCCAAGACATAGCACAAAAGGAGCACTTTGCAAAGCACCTGGCATATACGTGAAAGGGATTTATTGACTGATTTTAGGACATGGGCCAAAGGGACAGGGATCTACAGAAGATTTCTCCAGGAACAAAAGTGGTGGGTGTCATTTTCTTGTCCTCCTCAGCCTAGACAGTCAGATGCTTGTGGGAGCCAGTTCTGATACTTTCCATCTACTTCGCCAGGACCACGTGCCCAACCTGGAGTTCCTTTGTAGACCCACCCAGCAGGCAATGCTGGTAAGGACCAGTGCCCCCTCAAAGTGATTCCTACCCTGGGGAGGGGAGGCAGCGATAACCCTACAAACCAGCATACCCACACTTCCTGGGTCTGGGCCTCTCATCTGTGCAGGGAGAAAGCCCCTCGCACTTTGTGTGCCTACAGTTTGTGCAATGGCTGATTGCATACAGCCATGCTGAGGGCCAGCCCTGCCCACTAGTGATCCCACAGCCACTATAGACAGGACTCTGAACAGCATGAAGAGCAAACCTTGCCCAGTGTGCCCGCAATAGGCAAAACAGGTCACTGCACCAGCTGGGCTGAGGGCCAGCCAGGATCACTGGCATGCCTACAGCAATCACATCTTGGCAAAAAACAGGTGTGCACACAGCCCACACAGGAGGACATCCTTGGAGCATGTAATTCTGAAGATGGGTTGGGGGATTGTGCTACAGGATATCACAGGACTGCTTCTATACAAGGCCACTACGTTCAAGCCCCAAAAGACTTAGACAAAATGAGGAGACAGAGGAATATATCCTAACTATAAGACAACAATCACAGAAACTTAAGTGACCATCAACTTAATACAGCTATATATAATGTATGTATAATATATATATATTATACATATATATGTATGTTATATATATATATACACACACACACATATATATATATATATATATATATATATATAATATACATTAATACCACGGTAACCACAAATCAGAAACTTGTAATAGA